AATTTAAGTCACAAACTCAAACATTTCAATGAATACATTTGCCAGAAGTGTCTCAAACTCCAAGACTTCCATCATTTGCTTTTTAGCCGTATTCTGTTGGCCACCCAATAGTACCGCGCTTTTCACCATCAGATCATAATAAGCGGCGACCGACGAGTCGTTCATACCTTTCATGAGTAGATCCCTATCAAAGAGACCCAACGATGGCTGATCTAACTGTTTGGTGGCATTTGTGTTAATGTTATCGATGGCTATATCATTGCATTTCTTACATATAAAACACGTTTTGAACTGTTCTTGTCGTCGATGTCAACGAATATACTGATTAGCATATTGTCGACGACTCCTATTTGTCTTAATTTGATGTATGATTCAAACCAATTGAAATTGGATTCATTCCACTGCGAGGACTCCAGTACAGGCCAACCACCAAACTTATCCATCAGATCCAGTAGTGGCTCATCACCTTTGGCCTCAATATGGGCTAATGATTGAGTCGATGAAAGGTTTGTTAACTTTATATTTTCTAAACTTACAAAATTATAATTAATCTACTTAAAAATGTACAATAAAACTTAAGTAAAATTTAAAATATTAAATATAAAAAAATAATTGCATTAAAAACTAGGAAGATATTTTTTATTTATAGATAAAAATGGAAATTAATTAGTGCTTAAAGAGTTTGACATATTTCGATATGAAAATGATTTAATTAGTTAAGGAATTGCGTTAAAATAAATATTTAAATGAATAAATGAAATGCAAACTCACAGACATTCATACAACTGATATACAGGTCTTTCAATTTGTTGACAAAAGATCTTTTCTCAAAGTTTGGAGACTTTTCTTCGATGAGCACTGTTTGCAATGAAAGTCACAAAATAAAGATAAAGTTTCAAATAAAAGGATGTTTTCGTGGAAAAACCTCTAAGTTTGCGATTCAACTCATCCTGAAGTTCATCAAACGTGGATTGGGATGACTTGTGCTCCGGTATGACAGTGGACTCAATATATTTGCCACAAGCAAACTGA